AACGCTGTGAAGGCAAAAGTCGATTTTATTGTGAGTGGATTTTAGTTGTTGTGAATTGATCGTGAACTTGTGCTTATTTGCGGAAATTTGCTGGTGTCTTGTGTGCTGTTGACTGATCGTGAGTCATTTCAACAGTGTATAGGTCTTTGTGGAGCTGCGATATTTTTTAGTGTCTGATTTTTTGAATGGTTGAAGTAAATATAAGTTTTGTATTGTGTTGGGATTGTGTTAATAACGGTCGAATGGATGTCAGTAGAGAATAATTTTAGCATCGTCAACAACTGATTCTGTCGCCACTTCAACTGATGTGCGAAGTTGAGTATGGGGATGTGAGACGTCGTCAGATCGAGTGTGTTGTCTACGTGGTGCAGTGGGCCGGTCAAGAGCTGCACGGCGAGCAGTGGCCTGTTGTGATCGACATCATCCGCGCCATTGTGTCGGGACAGTATCAGTTCGATGAGTCGCTCGTAAAACAGAGTTATGATGCGCTGGCGCTGGTTATTGCCGATTTTTTGGACATTCTTCCGTTCGCCTGTTTGAAAATGTTGGTCGAAACCGACGCCAAATACGGTGCCCAGCAATGTGAGCTGAACATTTCATTGTCGGCCCTGGGGCAGTTGGTGAGTGTGTTTTGAATTGCTTTTTTTCATTATGGTATAAGCGAGTGAAAAAAAAAAGACCATTAGGTGGAAGAGTTGACTGGGTAAAACTTCGTTGTTTGGAATCAGAATACGTGAATAATGTCGGTTCCAGTGCTCAGCATAGTCAAATTCGTACCGTTCTGATCGTTATTGTTATCATTATTGTAATTTGCGGACGTTTCCTTATTTATGCTTTCTTTAAAACGAGAGAGACATTTATTACATTTGTCACCGTTTCAGTGGACAATATCAGACTTCATCTACAGTAAACGACCAAAACTGGTGAATGAAGACACAGAAACAATTTGGTTGGTGCTCTACAATTGCCTGTCGGAATTGTGTGTGGATCCGAGGCCACCGGTTCGCAAGAGCGCATGTCAAACACTCCTGCAAACGATAGCTGCACATGGTCTTGGCTTAAAGACTCAAACTTGGAAACATATGGTTTGGAAGGTTGGTGGGCTGAGTTATGTCATTTTGACATTTTGATGGGGTATTTCCTCGTGTTTATTCTTCTGTATGTCACCTTTTTTTTGAAAAGATTTTGACTGAACGAATCAAAGGAAGATATTTCATGAAGGTGTTGAAATGNTCAATATGAAAAAGTAGCTTGCTACAATAACTGAAAATGATACTGATAATGGGCGTAAGATGAAGATGTAAGAAAAATGATAATATTAACATTCATATAGTGAGTGAATTGCTGCAGATTCTCTTCCCAATGCTCGACAAAGTGCAAAAATTAACACGAAGCGCTTCGACAGTGCGTACAGATAGTACGGCGTTGGGATCGAATATATTGGTGCATCATTCGAGAGATACGGAATATAAACAGTGGGCTGAAACATCTGTGAACACGCTATCGGCCATCGTCAAAATATTCAACGCGCAACGATCTCTACTTCTTTCACTTGGTTCGATTCCTTTCTTTAAATCTTCGTTGTTTTTAAGATTTTAGTTTTTACTGTTGTTGATGCATTATTGCTAATCGAGGGAATGATATGGGTGTGTTGCAGTTGATTTATGAGCGACACAATTGTTTTATTAACATTTTAGTAATAGAATAAAAAGATACTTTGAAATATCTTTGTGAATTTAAAATATCTTAGCGTCACGCTCGTATCATGTTTAGAAATTATTTATAAGAATGTAAATAGTTCATATTTGATAAGTAATGTTTTGGTTGCGTGCAATATTCTTAAGTATTTTCTTGTACAGATGACTTCGCGTCGGCGTGGTCAACGCTTTTAGAGTATATCGAGTACTTGGCTGCATCCGATAACAGTGAAATGTCACTTGCTGCTATCAAAAGCTTTCAGGTGAACTGATTTATCCAATTATTTGTTCAGTGATTTATTTCTGTTCGTTATTGAAATGACCGAAAGGTTTTGCCTATATCATCGTACGAGAAAAATTGTGATTTGTTCGTCGAGCGTTTAGAGTAGGAGTTTATGAGTGATTGCGTTGGATGTATTCAATTAATTTTTTCGTTTAGTACTAATTTTTTTCAATTTTTGTGAGTTTTCATGATTTTGAGGACGTAGTTGTTTTAGGAGGTGTTACTCGGTCGAGTCACACAACAATCGATGGCTGATATGAATTTACGTGAACGATCAGCGGGGTGAGTTTTGCGTTAGTTGATTTAGTTTTGATTCAGTGTGGTATTGAATTAAATTGTGTATGTGAAGATACACATCCACAATGCGTTTAGCATCAATTTTTGATTGAAATGAACTGATCGTAACTGTTTTCGTGCCCCACTTTTGATTTTTTTGTTGAGTAATTTCATTAATTGCATCACTTATCTGATTTTAGTTTTTAACGGATTTCATCTTTCAGTAAGGGT